TATCGATTTTTTTGTAAAGTTTGAGCTAGGGGGCTGGGAGTTGGCACAGGGGGGTAATCGAGCATGCTGATCATCCCCAAGGGGGGTGATCAGCATGCTCGATTACACCCCTGTGCCAAATTCCAGTCCCCTAGCTCAAATTTTCAAAAAATCGATAAAATCGATAAAAGTAATGGACGATCTTGAAAACTAATATTGTATTCGTAATCTGCATGCTCGATTACCCTCTGTGCAAACTCCCAGCCCCGCAGGTCAAACTTTACAAAAAAATCGATAAAATCGATAAAAGTAATGGACGATCCTGAAAACTAATATTGTGTTCGTAATCAGCATGCTCGATTACCCCCCTGTGCAAAATCCCAGCCTCGCATGTCAAAATTTACAAAAAATCGATAAAATCAATAAAAGTAATCGATAATTCTGAAAACTAATATTGTATTCGGAGTCCCCATGCTCACTTCCCCCCCCTGTGCCAACTCCTAGCCCTGTAGGCGAACTCTGCAAAAAATCGATAAAAATCGGTAAAATCGACATCGATCGATAACGAAAAGTGGACTGTGACACCCGCCGGGGCCCGAAGTGTATGTGTGCCAAGTTTGGTCCGGATACGGCGGAGCCGGGTAAGCCAGCTAGTATATATATATAACTCAATGTCTGTGAGGATGTTCGTTTAATTGTTCGTTCGTTATAGAAACGCGCGCCACTGAACCGATCCGGCTGAAACTTCGCACACGTATATTTTAGACCCCGGCGGTGGTTTGGAGCTACTTTCCGCGGCGATTCGCCGGGCCATTCTATCGATTTATCGATTTGTTTACTCAAACCTAAGAAAATGAAGGGCCATCATGGCAACCGATCATTTTCACATATAAGCATATAAGCAGGGGCGGTAAAGTCCATTTCAGTCTTAAAGTTGGTAGGGTGCGGCAGTTAGCCTGAAAGGGCTTTATGCGCATGTTAGAAGAAATTTAGAGGCGTAAGTTCACAAGCTCTTTTGGCTTAACTACATATCTTGAAGTCTCGGGTGAGACCGGGGCCACCAGCTAGTGTACAATAAATATCATACTCTATAATAAAGCGCAGGGAGGCCCATCGCACGTCAACAGCCGGCGATGGATGTTTGTGAAGATCTCTGTCTTAATTTTTGCACTTCCGCCCGTTTCCAGACTGTTTACCCCCATGACCTGGCGCAGTCACCTAAGTGCAACTTTTGCTGACTCCTAATGGTAGTGATGTCTGACTTAGTTGATCAAGTGGCACAACCAAAAAAGTACCGGCACTAGACAGCTAACGCTGCAAACAGTAACATCGAATAGTTATATTTCTGCTATACATCAATCAAATCGCTTCCACTTGCCATTGGGAAAGCAACTCCTTCGATCAGATTCGGACAGGTCAGTTTATAGTTTTACTCCAAGTTATATTCTATTTCACTCCAAGTTATATTCTATTACGCCTGCAAAAACTGCGAATCTGAATGCACATTCGTGATCGTTCCTGAGCATCCACTCAATTCAAATATAGAGTAAATCTACGTATCTGGGGTCTACTTATGCACTGTTTTCATTGAGAATTCTTTTGGAAAAGTTTTTGCTTTTTTTCAAATAACTTCGCAAAAAAAACTTACTATTAGGTTGGTAAGAAAGTTCTCGGACATTTTCAGAAAAAACCTGCTATTTCTCGAAACCTAATGCATATACATCAGAATGAGGTACCAATCGATGAAACAAAGCAAGCTCTACAAGATGGTATGCAGAAGTTCACACCAGCTTCGACCCATCGTATGTTTGCACCCAAAATCTGAGTCGTACCAAAATCCAAAAAATCGCGAAAAATTCGTATCTTTGTTCAAACAAATCCTCCGAATCTCTAATTTCCTCACAAAAATTGCACACCACATTAGACACTCATATGCACCGTTTCTGTAATTTTTCCTCATCTAGAAATCGAAAAAACGAAAATTTTCATGCTTATGTAAAAACGAAGCTGTGCTGTTTCCACCCATGTATTTGAATAGTACAAGCCCTTAAGAGTATAACCGTAAATTTTCAACTTTCTACAGGCCCTAGTTCTCGAAAATTAGCAATTTAAGCGCTCCTCACTCGGGCGTTCATGCTAAAATCAATATTTTTCGACGACTAAGGTTTACGGAAAGCTGAAAATTTACGGTTATACTTCTAAGGGCTTGTACTATTCAAATACATGGGTGGAAGCAGCACAGCTTCGTTTTTATACAAGCATGAAAATTTTTGTTTTCCCGATTTCCAGATGAGGAAAAAATACAGGAACGGTGCATATGAGTGTCTGATGTGGTCCGCAATTTTTGTGTGCAAGTTGGAGATCCGGAGGATTTGTTTGAACAAAAATATGAATTTTTTGCGATTTTTTGATTTTCAGTACGACTCAGATTTTGGGCGAAAACTTACGGTGGGTCGAAGCTGGTGCGAAACTTTGCATACCATCTTTTAGAGCTTCCTTTGCTCTATCGAATGGTACCTCAGTCTGTTGTATATGCGTTAAGTTTCGAGAAATAGCAGATCTTTCCTGAAAATGTCCGAGAACTTTCTTACCAACCTAATAGAACTGATTTTCAAATGCTGAATTCGATCCGTTTCATTAGATTAGAGAATGTTTCGTCCTTGGTTTAAATACAAGCAACTCTCTGATATTTTTGTGTCAATGTGTGCTCGAAAAATATACATGAGTCAGCAAAAAAAACCTGCAATTTCCAAGTTTCCTTCATCAAATGATTGGCATTTTGTTAGTTGGAAAAATGCGCCGTATATCGGTTAAAAAAGCAGATAATTATTTTCAGCAAAAACTGCAATTTTTCAATTACCATTGCATAGGACCTTAATGTATTTGTCAATGTGGGGGATTTGCCCAAATCCGTATTAGGCGAAAAGCTGTCCCTTGATCATTAAGTGTAATCTGCTTTCATGCAGTTTCTGCGTAAGTGTCTGTTATCTTAATTCGTTAAGAGTTTTTCCTGAACCTTTTTAACCTTTTGAGTAACAGGATCTCTATCATCCTTTTGTTGAGCATTTCGTTCAGGGTGTACCGTAAGCCAAAAAATGTTGATAAAGATTCGAGCATAAAATTTTTCCAAATCTCTATAAGATGCTTAGGAGTTTTTATCTTATAGAAGCCGCATCCAATCTCCGGAATAACACTAAATTTCATCCGATATGCGAGAACCATTGATTTAAACAAACGGCATCGAGTCGGTTTCTAGAAATTATTTTTTTTTCACTTCTTGACAATTTCTGTCGTCGTAATTCGTCAAAAAAAAGGTTGCAGTCTCTCAAATTTCCCGTCGAATGCCCAAATATCTTTCAAAAGCTATGCCGAATCCGTTTTTGAAATAGTAGGCGCGTTTTGGCTCGTATATCTTTTACTTCTTGAGATTTCTGTTGTTAAACTTCAGCAAAGAAATTACATTCTCTCCCATGAAGTGTTTGAAATTCTTGTATCTTAAGAAAGTTATGCCGATTCGTTTCTCAAAATTGCGCCGAGCATCTAATAAATGCGTGGTAGGTACTCACCTCAAATACTCTGCATCGAATCTGATTTTGGATTCACGCAAATCTTTTTGAGCTCTTGGGTATGGTCTCTATCTGCGATTTAGTACGAACATTTTGCTTGGATGTACCATCTGTTTAGATTTGTCAGTATTTTTGCAAAAAGTTGCAGCCTTTCGAACTTTCCATCAAGTGCTCAATGTTTCTCATCCCAAACAAGTTGCTTGAATCTGTTTGTGAAAAGTGTATACTGTCATTCCTCCTGTCTTGAGCACGACCTCTGTTTATGATTTGCTCATTTGAAAACAGCAATTTTCTGTTTATTCTTCTATACTATTCCGCAGTTTTGTTCATGCATTCATATATTCCACAGAAAAGTCATCGTTGATTTCATGATGATATCACTGAATGATACCAACATCTACTCAACATTTTATCACGCCATTCAAGTGCTATAGAGACACTATTTCCGCTGCAGTGTACACTATTCTGAAATACTCAATCCCATTTCTTCAAGAGGGGGTTTTACTCAAAACCATAAATGTTTTTAGAGACGTATTTGTTTTCAAAAAATCATACATGTTGTCAAAATCTTCATTGTCTAAATCATCAGCCTCATTTTCGGAGCTCATTAAACCTATCAAATCCTTCTCAGAAAAAAGCAACCTAAGCGCAATCTAGACAATAAAAAGTACTGTGCTTTTCTTTCCACTGATATTTCGAGTGATTCGTCATCTAAGTGTTATCATTTGATTATGTTATAGTGCGATTTCTCAGAAAAAATTACAATTAGACATGCATCGTTTATCCACAACCATGATGTTGCATCTGATTAAACGTAGAGGTCTTCATCTTTTGAGTTTGACAAGCATTATTCGCAAAGAAGTAAGAAGTAGACGCAAGACTGTAACTGATTTCATACAAAACACCCAGCTACTTTGTTCAGCCTTGAATGTCATTCAAAACAAAGCGGAACACCCTATGTGCAAAACGAACATGAGCTGCAAGCACCCAAAAAAGTCAAAATTATCAGTAAAAAGTGTATATGCGGAAGGTGCGGCAAACTTTTTGCAGTAGTAGTGTTGATTTTGACATGAAAAGATCCGACGATGCGAAACTTTTGTAAATACTGTCCAATACGGTCGGCAGAAAAAAAAGGTTCCATTCAGGATTGAGCCAAGATAAAATAGAAACGTGTCAGATGGATTGTGATTAAAGCTTTTTACCTATCACCGTTTGATGCGTATGTAGCTACCTAACATTTACTCCAGCTTTGAATGCATTGAATGCTAGCGTGAGACGGCTCCCTAGGGCTATAGGCGTTTTCAAGCTAAAAGCTCAAGCACCACTTATCAGCGAGTCTCATACATCTCCAGAAACGAAGAAATGACCTAATCAATTGTTGCGCAGTAATTTTGCTTTGGACCTAGCCGTTATAATCAGAGTGGCCAAAAAGCTTATCTCAAAGAAGTTGGAGCCATGCATGGGGCTTCAACAAAAGCCACTAACGAAGATTCTTCATTTGATGCTGCCAAAGTACAGCTCACACAACATTTGGAACAGCATTCATGCTGTTCTCGACAGCATCTCTGTCTACCAACCGAACCGAATGAGGTAATTCCAAGATGAAATCTTATTCATAGCTTGGTCGACACATTGCAGCAACCGCCGCAGCGACTGCCAAAAATATTGCGCCAGGAAACATTAAAAGTAAGAAAAATTTCGACTTCTTAATATGCGCTTCGCGTTTGACTGCAAATTCGTTTATTCTAGGAACATACCCAGCGGAAGAAAGCTGAACAAAGATCGGGCGATACTGACGTGGCCGCCGATGACTACAAGCTAGCTCGCCTTGAGCTCCATACGGAAAGATCTAGATCAGATAGTTGGCGAGAAACCGAACTGCAGAGAGCAGAACGTCTTGCTAGAGTAGCGGAAAGGGCCAGGATAGGAGATCAAATGAAACTGAGGAACAACGATTGCTGCGTTCGTAAGTCTGCAGAGAGGAAAAGACGAGACGCACATGAAAGTCAAGAGAACGAAATCTGCGAAGGTGTCAAACGTTGCCCCACTTCAAGTTCGGATTGTTTGGGAAGTAAAATCACGGTCAGTATGCACTTTTATATCCTCTACCTTATACGTTTCTCAAAGCTGGGGTTTGAACTATCTCAAATAATTTTGTGGCAGTAGTACTAATAAAACCACATCTAGATTGATCCACATACAAGCGGTACATTTACGTCTTTGGAAATGGCAACTGCGCGTACTGCAATTGAGATTGAGGTTCGAGTTATCAAATCATGTGTGCATAGAGATGCTTCGCATTTCTAAGATGGATTCATCGCAACAACGGAGCAAATATGGTTCCACAACATCACCTCTTATGCAAAGTTTACTAGCGAATGCGCACTTGAGCGAGAACCCAAGATCTACAGTTGAGCATGAGGAAGTTCGTCCAAATGAAAATGTTGCTATGGCTAGCAAATACTCACAAGCTTCTGCAGGTTTACCACTTTTTTTATAGATCTGTGCTCCTGAGACTGCTCCACCTGAGTCCGTCACTGTACCTTCAAGAGATTCACAAACTCATTGGCTGCCAAGAGATTGAAATTTAATTCTCGGAATATATGTGGGGATATTGCAGCTGTCAATTGGAAACGACGAGAATACATCATCGTACCCCTACTCTGCCACGGAAGTAAGTGCGATCACCAACGAGAATAACTTACCCACATATCGGAGGAACCACAATGAAGAGGAAGGAGGAAACAATGTATATGTGAATCAGGTAAGGCAGTCTGTAAGTGTGTTGTGTGTTCTTTCCTACACTTCGGTGTTTAGACGGGATCATCTTGAAATGCTACGCAAGTTCGGCAAAGAACTCCTCGCAATCTTGGAATAGCGCTAACTACTTACGATACGGATAAAAATTATTTAGGAGCTATGAACGTGAGCTGCAATCGCTGCGGCGCACTCTTCTTTTCCGGCAAGGCAAAAAGAGTCAACGGAAGCTTCAACATTTGCTGCAATTTCGGCAACATCTCGATAGATCTTTTTTCGGATTTTCCGGAACTCATCCGCTCTTTTTACACTAGATCATCGGACCTTTGCAAAAATTTCCGTGACCAAATCCGATCCTACAATAGTAGCGCTCTTGCCATGACTTCAATGGGCGCACAAGGACATTCCGCGTGTGCCGGCCCAATCTGTTTTAGGATTCATGGCCAAGTATATCACATATATATAAATATATATGTGATATATGTATATATATATGTATATATATATGTATATATATGTATATTTATATACAGGGTGTCCCAAAAGTATGTATCGAACGTTTGATCGTTAATATCTCTCTTCCCAAGAAGTCTTTTGCCTTGCTTTAGGTACCGTTTTGTAGAGCTGGCTTCAATTTAGATTTGCACTATAGAACGAATCATTCATCTCTCTTCATTACTGTAGGATTACGGTAGAAACTTGAAACATATGGTGTTAATGTGAAAAAAGCTGCCGTTTCAAAATTTTTCAAAAAATCGTGAAAACTTGTGTAATAGGGTTTTTATGGACGCTGAGTTCAATAATTAACTATTCACAAGATTACGAAGCTTTTTAAACGGTGCAATCCCACTTTTTAGGAACATTGAAAAAATGGCCGCTACTTCTTACCTGGCATAACTCTTCAATGAAGCATCATAATAAGTTGGGAACTTTACAGTTATAATCAGCAACTCTAATTAGCCTAGCATAAAAGTTTTCAAACTGTTTTGTTTCCTTTCTGTGGCAAAATATGGCCTTTCATGGCTCAAAACCCTCTTTGAAGTTTCTACCGTAATCCTACAGTAATGAAGAGAGAGGAGTGATTCGTTCTACAATGCAAATCTAAGTTGAAGCCAGCTCTACAAAACGGTACCTGAAGCAAGGCAAAAGACTTCTTGGGAAGAGAGATATTAACGATCAAACGTTCGATACATACTTTTGGGACACCCTGTATATATATATATGTATTTATATATATGTGATATATATCACATATATATCATATATATATGTACCATATATATACATATATATTACCATATATATCACATATATACACTACGTCGGCCCTTTAAGACCAGAACAAGGAATCCGTCCACAATTTGGACAGGTGTACATACTCGATACGGACGCTGCAGCTACTGAACGAAGTGGAAACCCTGCAAATTCAAAGTGCAATGCCACTGTGATGCATCAATTGACTGTATGGCTGCACGCTAATAATAGCTATGCAGCTTCACTCAGAATGATGGGTGATGTGGCTGCAGATGAAGAACGACGGGCTCCTAACGAAGGAAGGCAGGCACCGGTAGTCCGATTAATCTTCGACGAATCTCATAACTTGAATCGTCGTCAATATAATGTTCCAGTTTCCAACGAGATCGCTGTTGTCTACGTTGGTGAAGATGACGACGTTCCAGCGAATCGCGCTCTTGCGATTCATTATAGAGGAGGTCAGCCGCTCAATAGACATTGACGGCCGGTGTGACCCACTAATCTACCCATTACTGTTTCCAAAAGGAGGAATGGGTTGGCATGTAAGTCTAAAAAAGAGCCCAAGTTGCCGCGCTCGTTCTAGAATAACGCGACGCGAGTACTACTCTTACCTATTCGCGGTACGTCCATCTTTCAATCCGTTGCATCACGCCGGCAAACTCATGCAGCAGTTTGCAGTTGATGCATACGTCAAGATTAAACAAAATCGGCTGAATTATGCGCGTACGCACCAGAAGAAGCTTCGAATCGACAGCTATAGAGGACTCATGGATCATCTGGCATGTGATAATGTAGATGGACCTCCGGAACGGCGCGTGATTTTACCGTCTACATTTCCTGGCAGCCCTAGAGCATTGCACCAGTCCTACCAAGACGCCATGTCCATTGTTGCAAGGTATGGAAAACCTGACTACTTCCTTACCTTCACCTGTGATCCACAGTGGAGGGAGATAAAGGAGAACATGCATCTTGGCCAATCCTCTTTAGATCGACCGGATGTAGTGACGCGTGTGTTCAACAGGAAGTTAGAGGTACTAAAGTATTACTAAGAACAGGTACTACTACTACCTGTTCGAGAAGAGAATTTTGGGCACTGTCGCTGCCTAGGAGTTGTAGAATGACAGAAACGAGGCCTTCCTCACTGCCATATGCTTCTAATAATGGCTAGCGATGCAAAACCGAAGAGTCCTGAGAACGTTGATGCGGCTGTCAAAGCACATCTTCCATGCGCGTCTCAAATCCCCGTCTTTTCAGCATAGTCGCAAGGAACATGATCCACCGTAATTGTGGTGCAATCAATCCAACTGCATCATGCATGATGAACGGAAAGTGTTCAAAGCGGTACCCAAAAGATTACCGAGAGACAACTGAAATTGACGTAGACGGTTATCCTAAATATAGAAGACCAAATAATGGCTGCACCATAACATCTGGAAACGAGACTTATGATAACAGACATGTCGTGCCCTACAACTTATACCTTTTGCAGCTTCTTAACCCCATGTGAACTTAGAGATCTGTGGTTATGTACAAGCCATAAAGTGCTTATATAAGTACGTTTACAAGGGGCCGGATCGCGCTTCCCTGCGACTGATAGAAAAAGATTCTACGTAATGCACTGACGAGATTCGGGCTCATCTGTATGCCCGATACGTATGCTCACCAGAAGCATTGCATCACATCTTTATGTACGATCGGCAATTCAAATCAGATACTGTGTATCGTCTGGCTGTTCATCTCACCGATTACCAAACTATCACATTTCAATCAGGAGAGGAGCGTGAGGCAGCGGAACGCGGAGCAGCCAGAGATACGATGTTGACAGCGTGGTTCAAATTAAACAACGATTATGAGCTTTCGGAAGACAACAATGCCGAGATGGTGGAAGCGGTGGACCCTCGAAATCTCTACTATTATCAAATCCCCGAACATTTCACCTATACGAAGGAACGAAAGTGGGTACGGGGGCAAAGGGGCAATCGTCAGATTGATCGTATGCATGTTGCTTCACCTAAGGATCCGGAAAGATTCAGTTTGCGCGTCTTACTCCTTCATAGGAAAAACATGCGTTTCTTCGCACAGTGGACAATCATCTGCATCCCACATTTTTGGATGCAGTGCGTGCTTTAGGTCTTCTGCATGACGACTCTCATTACGGTGACTGCTTAGAAGAAGCTATTCACTTTCAAACGCCTACGGAACCCAGGGCATTATTCAGCTACTTAATAGCATTCTGCGACATATCCGATCCAATGTCTTTATGAACGCTTCAAGAACGATACGGCTGAGGATTTTATTCACAGAGGATTCTACGCCATCTGATGCTGAAGCACTCACTTACTTCGACCTATACGATAGGTTAGAGATTTTGCCTTACGACCTGTCTATAAAAATCACCCCACCAGCTGAGAGTCGGCCTATCCTGCCGGATCAGACTGATTATGCATTTCATGAGCAGAAAAGTAAAGAGATGTATCAGTATCTCAATCAGATGCAAAAATCAACGGCTGATGATATCTTAGCCTCTTTCGTGGCCGGTCGAGCTAAGCTGCACTTTGTTGACGGGCCCGGAGGTAGCGGAAAAACTCATCTCTACAACGCCTTATACCATATACTAAAGGGCCGTCACAAATCTGTCATTTGTGTAGCGTGGGCAGGTGTAGCCGCAAACCTGCTGCCTGAAGGTAGGACAGCTAGCTCTACATTCAAGTTGAATATGAAGAATGGAAACCGAGAATGCTTATTACGACGTGAATCTAAAGAGGCCATTGCTCTTAAGAAGGTAGATCTCATTGTTTGGGATGAGGTTAGTATGGTTCCGAAATGTTCGCTTGAAGCAGTGAGTTTCTTTCTACAAGATCTGATGTGCAATACAGAGCCTTTCGGAGGTAAAACAATCGTGTTAGGGGGTGATTTCCGGCAAGTATTACCAATTGTAGAACGAGGAAGTGAATGGGATATGGTTGATGCTTGCGTGAAGAATAGCAAACTTTGGAAGTTTTTTCGGATGCACCACCTGTTGATCAACATGAGAGCCGCAGAATCCGGCCCTTCTTGGTGTGATTTCCTGATGAACGTTGGAAACGGAGAAGCTGAAGAGGACGCTGTTGGACGATACAGCTACCAGATGAGATAGTTTCTAAGGGAGATCTCATAGATGAGGTGTTTGGCGATCTTTCAAGTGAATGCGATGCTTTGAGTGATCGAGCAATACTGGCTCCACGAAATTTTGATGTGTCGCAGATCAAGAGGAGGTTTTGAATAAGATTAATGGCGAAGTTCACGAATACAAGAATGCAGATGATGTTATTAGCGACCACCCGCAAATGGACGATTACACCACTGAATTTCTGAACAGCATGGCGCCAACTGGATTTCCTCCTCACGAACTACGACTAAAGGATTGCTCGATAGTTATGCTCTTGAGAAACCTTGATGTTCGAAATGGATTATGTAATGAGACGAGGCTAATTGTCACGCATCTTGGCCGCTTCATTCTAGGATGTCAGTTTGCATGTGGAGATAGAAAAGGAAAATTTGTACCGATTCCACGCATAGATAACTATAATGACA